TCCTGAAACAAAAGTGCATGCCCAGATGGTTTCACGGGTAAATTCTTTCAAACTTTTAAAGAGGACCCATTGCTAATCCTTTTTGAGCTTTTCCAGGAAATCAAAGAAACAGAAACATCCTAAAACAGTTTTTATGAGGCAAATATCATCCTGGTGCCCTAAGCAGAGACAACAATCAAATAAAATTTCAAGCCGATAACCCTGATGGACATAGATGCGAAGATCCTCAACAAAACCCTAGCAAATAGAATTTAATGACTCATGAAAAAGATCACGCATCATGACCAAGTAGAATTAATCCTGGGGATGCAAGGATAGTTTTACATTTGCAAGCCAATCAACATAATGCACCTTATCAACAATAGAAAAGAGAAAGCCCCCTATGATCATATCAATTGGTGCAGATAAAGCTTTTGACAATATCCAGCACCCATTCACGTTAAAAATCTCAATAAAATGGATTCCAAGGATCTCTCTCCAATACAGTCAAAGTCATTTACCACAAACTCACAGCAAGCATATCTCTCAATGGGGTAAACCTAAAAGCCTTCACTCTATGATTGGGGAAAAAACAAGGTTTCTCCCTTTATTATATTCAATATTATATTCAATATAATACAATATTATATTCAATATAATACTGGAAGCACCATCATAGCAATTAGGGAAGGAAAGGATACTAAAAGGGCATCCAGGGAGGAAAGGATGAGGTCAAGCTCTCACTATCTGAAGATGACATCATGCTATATTTAGAGAATGCTAAAGTCTCTACCAAAAAGTTCCTAGAAATAATAGACTTGTATAGCAGAGGGGCAGGTTACAAAATCAATACCAAAAGCCCATGGCTTTCCTATATGCATATAATGAACAAGAAGAATGTGATATTAAAGAAACAATCCAATTCACAATTGTGCCACAAAAATACAAGCAAATCTCAGGGACCACCTTAACTAAGGAGGTGAAGGACCTTTACAAAGAAAACTACAAAACATTACTTCAAGAAATAAAAGAAGACTCCCATTTGACCCAGCAATACCACTCCTGGGAATATATCCCAGAGAGGCAAAAATGTATAGTCGAAGTGACATCTGCACTTGTTTGTTCATTGCAGCAGTCTTTACAATAGCTAGAATCTGGAAAAAAACCGAGTGCCTGAGAATAGATGACTGGTTAAAGAAACTTTGGTACATTTATACAATGGAGTTCTATGTAGCTGTTAGAAAAGATAAAGTCATGAAATTTATATACAAGTGGTACTACATGGAAAGTATCATATTAAGCGAAATGAGTCAGAAAGAGAGGGATAGACATAGAAAGATTGCACTCATCTGGGGGAACGTAAGGTAACAAAATAGGAGACTAACACACAAGAATGGCTGAGATTAGTACCAGAAGGTTCACTCTATGGCTTGGAGGCCAGCCACACATGCTAGGGGAAAAGGAGCTCAGATAGAAAAGGGAGCACCAAATAAAGGGTGTTGGGAGGATCCTCCCAGGATGGGAGAAGCATGCTGAAAGTAGACTATAGACCAAACATGATTGGTCCACTCAGTGCCTCTTTTGCAAATCACAACACCCAAAAGGAAAGAGAGAACGGAGGGGAATGCCCTACCACAGAGGCAGGGTGGGATGGCAGGGATAGGGGGTGGGAGGGATACTGGGATCCGTGGTGGTGGAAAATGGGCACTGGTGGAGGGATGAGTATTTGATCATTGTATAATTGAAACACAAGCACAGAATTTGTAAGTCTACAACTGTACCTCATGGTGTCTCACTAATTAAAAATTTAAAATAAAGAAAGAAATAAAAGAAGACACGAGGAAATGAAAATACATTCCCTGGCCATAGATTGGGAGAATTTACATGGCAAAATGGAAATAGTCCTAAAAGGACTATACATGTTCAATGCTGTTCCTCTAATGATATCCATGATATTTCTCAAAAAAATTGATCAAACGCTCCTGAAATTCATATGGAACAATAACCCCCCAAAAATAACTAAAGCCATTCTTGAGAAAAAGAAGATGGGTGACATCATCTTTTCAACTTCAGACTACCAAAAAGCCATAATAATTAAAATAGGATGGTATTAGAATAAAGACAGACCCTCAGACCAATGGAATAGAGCTGAGTATGCTGGCTCTGCACTCAGAAATTGCTCCTGGTGGTGCTCGGGGGACCATATGGCATGCTGGGAATTGAACCTGGGTTGGCCGCATGCAAGGCATATGCCCTACCCGCTCTGCTATTTCTCCAGCCCCTCTTCCAAACATTTAAAGGGGACCTATTGCCAGTTCTTCTCAAGCTTTTCCAAGAAATTAAAGAAACTCTCCCACGCAGTTTCTATGAGGCACATACTTCCCTAATACCAAAAAAAAAAAAAAAGACACCACAAAAAAGAAAACTACAGGTCGATATTCCTGATGAACATGGATGCAAAGATCCTCAAAAATAAATATTAGCAAATAGAATGCAACAACTCATCAAAAAAATATCATACACCACGACCAAGTGGGATTCATCCCAGGGATATAAAGATAACTTAACATTCAGAAATCAATCAACATAATCCATATCAACAACAAAAAAGATAAAACCATATAATCATATCAATAGATGCAGAGAAAGCATTTGACAAGATCCAGCATCCGTTTATGATGAAAACTCTCACCAAAATGGGTTTTGAAGGAACTTTCCTCAATATAGTCAAAGCCATCTACCACCACCCTATGGAAAACATTATCCTCAATGGGGAAAAACTAAGAACCTTTCCTCTAATATCAGGGACAAGACAAGGATGCCCACTCTCACCACTTCTGTTCAATATAGTACTGGAAGTACTTGCAATAGAACTTAGGCAAGAAGAAAAGGTATTAAGGGCATCCAGATAGTAATGGAAGAAATCAAATTCTCACTATTTTCAGATGATATGATACTATACTTAGAGAACCCTAATGACTCCAACAAGAAACACCTAGAAACAATAGACTTGTATTGTAAAGTCACAGGCTATAAAATCAATACCCAAAAGTCCATGGATTTCCTATACACAAATAATGAGAGAGAAGAAAGTGACATGAAAAAAGCAATCCCGTTCACAATCATGCCTCAGAAAATTAAGTACCACAGAATCAGCTTAACTAAGGAGGTAAAGGACCTGTACAAAGAAAACTACAAAATGCTACTTCAGGAAATAAAAGAGGACATGAGGAAATGGAAACAGATCCCCTGCTCATGGACTGGGAGAATTAACATTGCCAAAATGGCAATACTCCCCAAAGCATTATACAGATTCAATGTGATCCCTAAAAGAACAAAAGCAACCAGTGTTTGTGTGCATGTAGGAAGAAAGGGACTCTCCTTCACTGCTGGTGGAAATGCTAACTGGTTCAGCCCTTTAGGTAAACAGTATGGACGTTTATTTCTCAAAAAATTAGAAATTGAACTCCCATTTGACCCAGCAATACTTCAGGGAATATATCTCAGAGATGCAAAAATATATAGTAGAAATGACATCTGCACTCGTATGTTCATTGCAGCACAGTTTACAATAGCCAGAATCTGGAAAAAAACTTGAGTGTCCGAGAACAGATGACTGGCTAAAGAAACTTTGGCACACCTACACAATGGAACACTATGTAGCTGTTAGAAAAGATGAAGTCATGAAATTTGCATATAAGTGGATCAACATGGAGAGTATCATGCTAAGTGAATTGAATCAGAAAGAGAGGGACAGACATAGAACGACTGCACTCATTTGTGGAACATAAAGTAACAGAATGGAAAACTAACACCCAAGGATAGTAGAGGTAAGAACCTGGAGGATTTCTCCATGGCTTGGAAGCCAGCCTCAGAGCTGGGGGAAAAGGCAGCTCAGATAGAGAAGGGACCAACAAGTAAATGATGGTTGGAGGGTTCAGTCAGGATAGGAGATGCATGCTGAAAGTAGATTATAGACCAAACATGATGGCCACTTAATACCTGCACTGCAAAGAACAACACCCTAAAGGAGAGAGTTAAAGGAAATGTGCCTGCCACAGAGGCAGGGGTACGGGGTTGTAGGGGTGATGGGAGGGATACTGGGAACATTGGTGGTGGAGAATGGGCACTGGTGAAAGGATGGGTACTCAAACATTTTATGACTGAAATGTAAGAACGGAAGTTTTTAACTCTATAACTGTAACTCACTGTGATTAAAAAAAGAAGAAGAAAGTCAAATAGTGCAAAATGAAGCATATTTATTGTCATTTAAAAATTCAAATTAAAAATAGTTAGCATAAAAATAATAATAAATATAAAAATTAATGCTTCATTGTCAGTAGGGAACCTTAATAAGTTTGAGGATGAAGGAAGCCAGGTCAGATAACTCTTGTCTGTAGATCAGGGCCACCCCAGTGCAGTGAATGAGCAATATTCTGAAATGAAAAGATTTGTCTTGTTTTACACATTTTAATGACTAGTTCTCATATTCTAAGTGATGTCTTGAGTATGCTAAATGAACATTGCTTCAAAGTGTGGTTGAAATCCCAAAACTGGGGCATTGGATGGAAGAAGGATATCAGTGTCTTGTGGATGTCTCAGGAGAGGGAAAGCATTTAAAGTAGATTCTGAAGCTTCGTTTCATCCCAATTTCTTTTGGTCACACCACTCAGAAAGGGAAAGTGGCAGCAGAGAATACTCCCTGTGTGTGTTCTGGTGCTGCTCTCCTTCTGAAGTTCCTTTCCTGGAAATATGGGCATCTCCTGAGAGAGGGCTCTGCACATCAACAGTTTCCTAAATTTTGACCTCTATTATTCATCACTCCCACCCTGTCAGAAAAGGTTTCGAGAAGATAAAGATTCCTCAGAGCAGCTGATACTAGATATCTCAAAATTACTCTCCATGAGAATTCCTTGTCTCACTTCTCCATGATGAAATATTCTAGAAAAAGTCTCTGATAACCTCCATGTAGTTACTCTATTTTTTTTATTCCCCTTCTTCCTGTGCCTAGAACTCTGTGGCTATCTCTGAACACTCTTAACCCAGTCTTCTTCCAGGGACTCATCTATTTCTTGGATGTTGAGAATCTATTAAAAAATCCACCTTTGTCCAAAATTTTGACTGCAGTGTGTTAATGTCTCTTAACTTGGCCTGGGTCCTAACCATGTGTGACTTGCAGGGTGGCCCCTTATTTTGCCCTTGAAGGAGAGATCTCCACCCCAATATTCTCCCCACAACTTACCGTCATATTGAACTTCTTGCAGAGGTAAATGGCAGACACACAAAGCACCAACAGCACCTTGAGACCGAAGAGGAAGCCCAGGAGGAAATGTATGTGGGATGGCTCTGGAAATCAAGGCACAAGAGTTTCCTTAATGGAGCTATACAGAAGTGAATTCTCAGGAAACTCTACTTCTTCCATTTGTGATTATAGGAGCCAAAATATACTGAAACTTTTGAACATGACTGCTGTCCTAGTTCAGGATCAATTAAGAAATCAAGGTAAAGACTTCCCTTATATTGGGGCCAGTGCCATGTCCAAGGTGGTGTTTGACTTGCATGCAGCCAACACGGATTTGATTCCTGGTATTCCAGATGGTCATCCAAGTACCACTAGGAATAATTCCTGAGTTCTGAGAACAAAGTAACTACTGAGAATCTCCTCTGTGATCCAAAAACCAAAAAAAAAAAAAAAAAAAAAAAGAGGTTTCTTTATTTCATCACTCACAGGCTAAACTTCCAAGGTTGTCCTCATTGAAGGAGAGTGAAGAGAAAGCATAGTCAGATATCAAAATTCATTATTTAATCTACAGAATTGATCCTCAGACTAGAATGTGAATCTTCTCAATGGGGTCCCAGGCATGGGGGATTGAAACGTCTCCATAGTGGGTGGGTCTGAAACTGCACAGGGTTCAAGCTCTGACCTGTGAGCAGACAGATCCTAGGGAAGAGCTCCATCATTTAGGCAATCCCACGGCAAAGGACGGAACAAGGAAACAGAAATTGTTAAACAAAGTGAGCTCACACTGAGGGAATCTGCTTATTGAAAGAGTCACTAGCACAGTGCTCAGGTCTTAGCAAGGTGATTAAGGAATGTTATCGCCTATCAGGATAAAAATGTGAAGTCCACAATAACAGTTCCTGAAATGTAACAAGAAAATAGTAACTGTTCTAAAGTATAGGAATCTCTGTGTACACAGAAGAGCTTAACTATAGTTGGTTTTCTTGAGATATGAATTACAACATACTTGAAACTACCCAGCACAGTGCTTGATACCTGGTTTATGTCTACTTGGCAATCTGCTTGGAAACAGTTGGGTGTATCCAACGTTCTAAGTTGGGAATGACTTGGAAACTTTCCCAAGGTCAGAGGAGGTGTTTCTAGAGGGATTACAAGGAAAGCAGTGCCGCAGTGGAATTCAGGCAGCTGATCCAACGGCCTATCCAGAGAGCTGGTACTGGAACCCCTAGTTTTTACCTGAGAAATAAGACAGCAGGAATTCTCCTTTCCAGTCCTGTGTTGGAAGAATGAATCAAGCAGTAGAAATATTTAGCTTTGAGGTAAACAGAAGATACTTCACAAAGTAAACAAAATTTATTTGGCACTCCCATTCCTTTATTTATCTGTAACCTCTTCTCTTTGCTCTCCTCCGCAACCAGTTAATCCAGTTAATCAGCTTTTCCCCTAATCAGACTCTGTTATCTTGTAAAGTCAGATTCCTCAGAAATCTATGATTTTATATGTATTATATTTATATAGAAATATTGCCTTTCTCCTCTCCTTATATCTTTTGAATAGTTTACTTTAAAGTAATATCGTTTTTGTATGGATGAAGGAAGACAGTTAATATTATGCTTTTGTAACTTGGGAGTAAATTGTCTCCAAACAATCGGCACTCTGGGGCATCTGCTATCTCGACTTAGGCCTCAGTTGCCCTTAGTTCGTAGCACCCCAATAGCAGGGTCCCGACGAGGGACTGAATGGACCCAGGGCAAGCTGTGAGCTACCCTGGCATCAAGATGGGCCAGGCCAAAGTGCCACAATATTCAACTATTAGTTGAGAGCATGGTCATGGACAAATGCTGTCATGATCCAAAAGTAACGATGAGATTAGGACCCTGCTAGGGATAGGAAAGACAAATCTGGCCTGAGCACTGTAGTCTGAGATCGAGATGGCCCCAGGAGAGCAATTCTATAAGCTTAATGTATCTCTTACTGTGTCCATACAAAAATGATTAATACTATGAATGTTTATATGTTTGTTGGACAAGGACAGGAGAAACACACCCATGGGATTCAGCTTTTGGGTGGATTGTCCTCCTGGATGAGAATCTGTCCTAGAAGAAGCTTCCCCTAGAGAAAGACTTTATTTCTGTATGACCACACCTATGTGTAATTATTAACCCAAGCCCTCATGCTTTGGAATTTAACTAAGGCTGTAAGAAGGGGCTGGGAATTCTGGAGCCAGAAGGAGATTGAAGTGGGATCCAGAGGAGAATGAAGTAGTATGGGGGAAGAAGAAGCAGGAGGAAAATCAGAGGAGAATGGATATGGGAATGGAATAAACTGCAACTGAGACCAACCAGCCTGGCCCTCATTCCTTCCTTCACCTGCCCATCTCCATCAGCCTCACCAGGGTGGGGGAAGCGGCATGAGATTACCAAAGGAAAGTGACAGGAGAGAGAGAAAGCTGATGCACGAGGCCCCTTCATAATTTATTTTTAGTGAATATACAGTAAAAATGGAAAACAATAATAGGACAATATAGTTATGGGCTCCAATACTAATTGGACATACAAAAAGCACTCTGATCCTACAGGCACAATCAAGTAACTTTTGTGTGCATATTCTTTAAGGAAATTTGCTCATTCCCCTGACCAGATGAAGACAACACTAGAGGGCATGCTGGAATGATGCTGGGTCTTTGAAAGTGTGTGTGTGTGTGTGTGTGTGTGTGTGTGTGTGTGTGTGTGTGTTTCAGAAAGTGCTCCAAAATACCTTACTGGATTAGCCTTATGTTACGTGAGGGAGAAATAAGATGTATTTCTTTACATAAAGAGACACTGAAAGCCCTTGAATAAGGTACTATAGTGAAGCACATCTCCAACAATCATGGGAGGTGTCCAGGGTAGTGGTCTCTGCCTCATGAACTCAGGGACCTGGATTACTTTAGACCAATCACTTGGTCTAAGCAGGAAGTCTTAAAATATTCTTCCCTCACTCCTCCCCAAATCTCTACTGTAAAAATCTAAAATCATGAGATGCTTGGAGCAGAAAGGAGATTGTAGATGGAAAATAATTTCCAATGGTAAATGTGCAGCTGGTGATGAATTCAGGTCCTTAGCCAAAAACTAAGGACACAGGAAATCCTTGATTCCAATCACCACACACAGGTGACCAGTATATCTCAACAGGCAGGGTTTCTTCTGTGCATGCACAGACAGAAGGTCCAAGTGTCATTGGGTGATCTTGCAAAATATATGAAACAGATGTAATTCTGAGATGGAATCAAGTCTCAGTTGGGTTAGAGAACAGGAGGGAGGTGAGATGAGTTGGGTGGTGAAGAAAATCGCTGTAAAACAAGTGGGAGGTAGGACCCATGAATTATGACCTTCCTTCTTCCTCACTTTATTTCTCTGTTTGCTTGTTTTTATTGTTGTTTGTTTGTTTGTTTGGGCCCACACCTGTCTCTGATCACAGCTTACTCCTGACTCTGCTGTTAAGGGTAACTCCTAGATAGCTTGGGGTATCAAACACCAATTTGGTTTTTAGGGTATCAAACACGAATCAGTTGAATGTAAGTCAAATAGCTACTCACTGTAGTATATCTCAGTCCCTCCCCACTTTATTTCTTAAGATTTATTTATGTCCAAAACCTGTACCAACCTTATCCTAGCGGTTCTTCTTGGAAGGCATGATGGAGGCAGAATTTTCTAAAGGTCTGTACAATCAATATAATTACAATATTTAACATTCAAAGGAAGCAAATCTTATGGTCTAGATCAGTAGTTTTGTATTCTTACCAGTTTGTTTGATTGAGACCAGGGTGTGTGATTTGGTGAGCACCGGCTGCCCATCGTGCTCCACCTGGCAGGTGAAGGCTACATTCTCCTGCTTGGCAGAGGAGTTCACCAGGAGCCAGCTGGTTCGGTTAAAGGTCCCATCCTTGTTCTCTAGGAGGAGTGAGGCCGTTTCTGCCCGGGGCACAATTCCGTTCTCCAGCCAGGTCAGTTGAAGTTTCCGGGGATAGAACTTCTTCAACTGGCAGGTGAGGTTCACCTGGTTGCCCACTGCAGGAAACTGGGAGACCTCCAGCATGGGTGGAACTGAAAAAGCCCAGGACAGAAGCTCTGATCTTGGGGGACAGAGAGGTCACAGGACCTGAGATTTAGCACGTAGACCCCAACCCACAGAAGGGATTCACCCCAATAGCCCCAGACACACAGAGCTAGGTAGGCAATCCACACTAAGAGAGCTCTTGGCACAAAAATGAAACCAACAGCACAGTATCTGACACACTGTGTCAGGCACAGCTTTTACTAGGGGAGAAACAAGTGGAATAAACAAAGTGTGAACATAATAATGTCACCAAAAACTGAAATAAAGAATGCACATGAAGGTGGTTGATATTAGGTAATTAGGAATTTCAGTTGCTTTCTCTAAAATAAATGAGATATTCTTTACAGTGTTAGAATACAGGTAGGTTTGCCATGGAAAGAGGCATGTGTGACGAGCACATCTAGGATGCTGGCAATCAGGAAGCATGGATGGGAATTAGATTCCAGAACAGTAGAACAAAACTCAGGAGGCAGAAGAGGCAAGAAGACACAGAGTCTGGGATGAGGGTGTCTACCTCGGATGGTCTCAGCCAAGCTGGCTGTCCCATGGAGAGGTGGGCCCCCACGCAGGGTGATGTGGTTGATCTCACAAATGACCTGGGGGCGCACGTCTGCCTAAGTCAGCTGAACCCTGGCTGTGCTGGAGACACTCTAGGAGGTGCTCTCCCCCGGGGGGTCCACACTGGTCCGGGAGGCTGAGAGTGCGTTCCCGTTTTTGAACCACCTCAGGCTGACATTTCTGGGGAAGAAGCCGTGGGACCTGCAGGTGAAGCTCACGGTGTGCCGGGACGGGGCCCTCTTAGTGGGGCCGGAGATCTCTGGACGAGAAGGTTTGGCTACACAAGGAGCGTTTGGACACAGTGAGCACAGGGCAAGTGTGGCACCAAAGACAAACACCTGTGTTCAGCACATCCTGACCTACAAGGCAGTAACCTTCCTCAATTCACAGAACTCGAGCACTTCCCAGTGGTCACTCCCCCATGCATGCTTTTGTGTGTTGAGGAGGGAGCACGGCTGACAAAGGGTGGCCCTGGAACTGTTCCTGCCGCTCGCTCACTGACAGAACATCAGTCCGTTCTCCCAGCCTCATGTGTTCTGTCCCATCTCAGCAGTGTTCATCGTGCCTTCATCTCTGCGGGACTCTGAGCCCAATGCTGCAAGGGCTACAAAATGGTTCCCATTATAGACAGCACAGTTGCACAGCCACAGTCTAGGGTCTCTACCTTTACCCATGGTCTGAATCCAGGTATTGGGAGTCCCAGGTTTTCGACTGTTCCACATGACCTGACATGTCTCCAGCTCCCTCGAATTCCACACTCCCTAGACTCCACTTCACAGAGCCAGCACGGTGCAGACTACACTTCTCAGCGAGCCTTCTGGGGTCCTTCCACCCCTCTCCCCTGGCTTTCCTCCCTCTCCTTGTCCCCAGTCTCAACACTGCAGCCATTTCTGCCTTCTTGACCTCCCTGCACAGATACCAGACCCACATGTCTTGCCTCAACTCTCCCTCACTACCTCCCTTTCTCCTTCCTTCCAAAAATAAAAAAAAAAGAGGACCCTGGCCCCACATGGAGTCATAGATCAGAGGTCACAGAGATGAGGAAGCAGAGCAGAGACATGAGCACAGGCAGGATGCTCACCAGTCTCTCCCCTGGGGCTTAGTGATGATAATGATACTTCCACAGGACTTTGTACCAGTCCCTACAACTCACAGACCTGAACAAAGCCACCACTTCACTGATGGGGAAATGGAGGATTCCAGACACTGAGATGTCCACAGCCTTGGGATCAGAGCACCACTGCTCATCTGCCAAGGACCAGCCCCGTATAGAGGGTGTTGCCGAGGATTAAGAAATAAGACAGAAATGAGAGACAAGTGGGGTCATGTGGCTAGTACCCTTCAGACACTGAGCCCCATTTGTCCCCTGTGGATCATTTTACTGCCTTACACTAAGAAACCAGAACTGGAGGACAACATTCTTAGCATGGGGACAGGAGACTCTGATTACGAGCACAACTCCTCTTAGTGGAGCTACTCTAAACAAAGCTAGTTCTAATCTAAACTTCATGTCTTAAGCAGCTCAGGGTGAATAGCTTTCTTGTGGTCTCTTTCTATGGGTCTGTTTTCTCATACCAAGGCAATCAGGCCAGGATGGAGCACATACAGGACCATGCCTAGTGCTGTTCCACATAAGTTGGCACCAGCATTCTCAACATAAGGCCCCTGTATTCTGCCCCCTAAGGCTCTTTTCTCATCTATATAACTTAATCCTTTGTTTCCAGCACTTATCTGTTCTCTCACCAAGCTCATCGCATCTCACACCTTCCCAAAAAGATTGGTGGATTAGTTACCTTCTATGTGTAAAGAGACTGATGCACAGGAGGAAGTTCAGTCACAGAACCTTGATCTAGCCCTTGGTTTGGGTCTACTCTGTGCTTCTGGGCAATGGCATCTCGGATCCTTTCAACTATCCTAAAAGGAGTCTGTTATTATTGCCATTTTGGAGATGAGAAGAATGAGTCCTTAAAAGATTGTCTCAAGATTTCCCATCATCTCATCAGGAAGCTCTTGTCACCTCACTGAGGTATTTTCCCTGATTGAGACTTTCTAAGGCCACCTGCTCTGCTCAGAGCTTTCAGTGATTGAGTGATCTTTCTCTGAACCACTGGAGGGTTTCCTGACGACCCTCCTGAAAGTGGAAAGTCCTGGTGACTGTCATCCTATCAGACTGAACAGAGTCTGTGGTTCTTACTGCCTTTTGTCACTGCTGTTTCTCAAATAGAACCAAATGCAGTCCTAGGGCTGGCACCATGTTGGAGGGAATAGGATTCAGTGATTTTGGAGCAAAATCTCTGGTCATTACGATGACCCTTGTTTCCACTGTGCCCAGAGCAGGGCTGGGCACTCTGTGGATACTGAGGAAAGAGAAGATGCTACACATCGAGAACAGCCCTCAGAGTGTTCTCCTCAGGTGCAAACTGCAGGACTTGGTGACTTCAACATCTTTGATCTCCAAAGGTAGTTGAAGTGGACTATGAAGCAGATCCAAGGACAAACACCAGCTCATCACCTGGCCTTAGTTTTTGCTCTTAGAAGCAAGGCCAGCCTGACTGACTGTGGTCACACAAAAGGACGATGGACCCCCCTCCCCAGAACACTCACCGCTCAAGGTGACCTGGGTGCCTGGCCCAGACTTGAACTCCACATCTTCCACAAACTGCGCCTGGAACTTCACACAGTAGTAGGTGCCTGTGTCGGCTGGGCTGATGTCACGAATGTGGATGGAAAAGTCCAGGTTGTCTCTCTTGGTGGCATCCGAAGCATTGGTCACTCGGGGGTAGTAGCCTTTTTTCCCGTAGTTGTAGATCTCCTCCCGGCCACCCACTCTCTGCCGGAACCACTTGACAGGACCCATAGGATGCAAGGAGGTCACAGAGCAGCGCAGAGTGATTGTCCCTCCCACGGCCACCGACACAAACTTGTCAGGCTGGATCACCTGCAGCTCTGCATTCTGCCTGGCCACTCCTGAGGGAAACACAAGCAGCTCTTCACTCATCCTTGTTAGTCTGTAGATTTTCTCAACTCTGTGTCAGCAAACTACACCAGTGACTGAGTGTTCAGTGTGAGGAGTTAAGCACATTGTGTGAATCTTATGTTACCCCCCCCACCCCCCCCACACACACACCAACCTCCATAGTGTGAGTGTGGTGTGATGCAAAGGAGGAATCTAGGAACTAGGAGCTTAAGGACATGGCATAGAGGGTGGTTTAGGAGCTTTACCTGGAATGTCTAAAATTAGCAACTCTCTTGTTCCTACAGTCTGACTCGGAGAGTGTTGGACTTTTTCTTTGCATTATGAGGAAGCATGAAACCAATGAGTATAAATAGAGGGACAGTGGTGCCAATGAGATATCCCTGAAATGTCAAGGCCTCAGAAAATCCATCTTTCTCTTCTCCAGATGATGCTCTTAGTGGTGTCTGTGATCAGCCAGAGTACAGAGAGAAGGTAGAAATCTACCACTCCTGGGAATATATCCCAGAGAGGCAAAAATGTATAGTCGAAGTGACATTTGCACTTGTTTGTTCTTGCAGCACTCTTTACAATAGCCAGAATCTGGAAAAAACCTGAGTGCCCAAGAACAGATGACTGGTTAAAGAAACTTTGGTACATTTACACAATGGAGTACTATGTAGCTGTTAGAAAAGATGAAGTCATGAAATTTACATACAAGTGGTACTACATGGAAAGTATCATGTTAAGTGAAATGAGTCAGAAAGAGTGGGATAGACATAGAAAGATTGCATTCATCTGGGGAACATAAAGCAACAAAAAGGGAGACTAACACCCAGGAGTGGCTGAGATTAGTACCAGGAATTTTGCTCCGTGACTTGGAGGCCAGCCACACGTGCTAGGGGAAAAGGAAGCTCAGATAGAGAAGAGAGCACCAAATAAAGGGTGTTGGGAGGATCCTCCCAGGGTGGAAGAAGCATGTTGAAAGTAGACTATAGACCAAACATGATTGCCACTCAATGCCTCTCTTGCAAAACACAGGACCCAAAAGAAGAGAGAGAGAACAAAAGGGAATGCCCTGCCACAGAGGCAGGGTGGGATGGGGGGAATGGGGGGCGGGAGGGATGTTGGGACCCGTGGTGGTGGAGGATGGGCTCTGGAGGAGGGATGGGTACTTGATCATTGTATAACTGAAACCCAAGCACAAAAATCTGTAAGTCTATAACTGTACCTCATAGTGTTTCACTAATAAAAAAAATACACATGAGATTTATAGGAAGCTGAACATAGTTTCAAGTTCCTGAGATTTATACTTTCTAATTTCTGATCAGTATATATTGGTGTGGTCATTCTGCTGTGACAATTATCAAAATCGTATTATCTTAAAGTAATAGGCTCCTTTCTCAATAGATGAATTAATGAACATAATCTAGTACATGTACAAAATGGAATATTTGCATATTCATTAATGAAATTCTGATTCAATCTGTAATACAAATGAACCTTAAAATAAATACTGTGTTAATTGAAAGAAATCAAATGTGAAAGAGAAATAGTTTCCCACATGTATAATGTACCTAAAATGGGCCAATTCATAAAGGTAAAAACACCTTAGAGCTCGGGGAGCTGAAAGATATGAGGAGTTTTTTGGGGTACACAACTTCTATTTAGCTTGTTGAAAAGTTCTAGAAATGTGTGATGATTTCACCATTGTGATTGTGCCCTATTGCCACCAAGTTTTATACTTTTAACAGGATCGTTCATTGTATGTATAATTAATATAATAACTAGTGCGTACTAGAATAAGGTCATTAGTCTTTGATTTGAACTAATGATTTAAGGAAAAAATATAACATGTGATAATGAGGCAGGTAAATTACTTATAAATAGATATTTGAACGTGAAGAGAAACCAGGAATACAAAGAATTCTGAAGCAGATATTTTTCTTATAAATAGATATTTGAATGTGGAAATAGATCAGGGATATAGAAGAGCAAGAAACGGCTGGTTTTAGATTTGTGTTTTGAAAAGAACAGAGCTGTTAATTTTGCTTGAACAAAATGAGTTATGAATTGAGGGACCATGAGTCATTTCATGACTTTTAATACCAAGTGAAAGACTTTCCAGTTGGATTGCCTCCCCAAAGATTAAGCATGTTCTGGAATCATATAGAAATGATAAGTGGTTCCTCTAATTTGAAGTGTCTCATGGTTCTGGTAGCAGATCTGCATCAGAGAATCAGCATGTTGTTGGACCACAAAAAAAATCCCATGTTGTGAAGTCTTGCTCCCCTCCTACAATACTTAGCCTTGCTTAGCATCCTCGAAACAATTTTGTAAAAGCAAAGTTTTTGCCAGTAACTTTCAGTTGAGCCAGATAACACCCATTTATGGGGCTCAGCTGTAAAAGCAGAATTACTCCTGTATGAAGTCAGCGGAGATAACCACCAAATCAATCAAGGAAAAGGTCATCAGGAAGTGGCAAAAGATGGTCAGGGAAACCATTTGAATTCTTAAAGTATAAATAGATCCTGGAGTCAAGGGGAGGGGTCACTCTCCCACTAGAGGGTTTGGCTGTGACCAGTCAGCTTTCTAAACTCCATACTTGTTTGACTTGTGCCAAATAAAATGTTACAATGCAAAGCTCATTGCTTTGTGTGGTCCTTGGGACTCCGGACCCTAACAATGTTCTTTTTCTGTTTCTTTGTGCTCAACACAATATAGAGTTGTGGTTCCTCTTTTCATATGTGAGCAGGTAGAGTGCACCCACTCAGCACTTATGTGACCGGGCTGGCTCCTAAGGACTCACAAGACACACACTTGTTACTGTGGTCAGGTCATCTGTTGGTTTGGACTTAAATCAAGAGAAGAGGATTGGGGGCTGCAGAGATAGTTCAGGCTTCTAGGTCCTTGGTTGACTATGACTCAATGCCCTGGCACTGCATATGGTTCCCTGAGCACTGCCAGGAGTGATCCCCAAACACTGGACGTCATCATTTGTGGCCCCAAACCAAAAACTTTAAAGCATAAAAATAAGAGAAGATGACTAGACAATGGAAAGCTGTGTGACAAAAGTGAAATTTTGTGACAAAGTGGGAATAACTATAACTGAATCTTGAAGAGAAGAGTGAACTGAATAGTGGAGAGAGGGAAGAAGAGAAACTAGAGAGTTGACAGAAACCAGGTAATAGAGAAACTCTGCCCTCTGTGTATCCATAATTCTCACATTCACATTCTACACCAAACGTTACCCCCAGATTCTGGACTTTTGTACAATTCTTCCAGGCCCTGATCCTTAATTGGAAGTAAATATCAAACAGTTAACATCCCAGACCTGAATTCCTCATTTCCTCCCATGCCCTCGCTATCAACTTGATTCTTCCAGATCTCAGATCCAAGTGCTTGGGTATCTTTCTGCCACTCCAGCTCTGTGCACCAGGAAATCCTGTTGACTCCTCATCAGCACAGGTCCCAGAGCCGAACTCTTGACTTTTGTCTCTACGAACTACTGGCTAGTTGCAGTCACTTGTTTTGTGTGCATGAACTCAGTGACTTCTGAAATTCTCTAGATGTTTCTATCTCTGTTATCTAGACCATTCTCAGTTAAATGTAGAATAATTTCATACTCATCTTGGAGCAAGTGGCTTCCCTCAGCAAAACCATGCAATGCCAAACACATTTTTTAACACCGCAAAAATAAAATGAGCATGATCAGAGCAAAATCAAATCCTTGTGCAAAACAGGAAGAATTTCTTCTCATGGTCCTTGCACACTTTTCCTTGTCACTTTCTCACCAGAAATCCCTATAGTTCATACTGTACAGTCTATTAAGCTTTGCTCAAATCTGCCTTTTCCATAATATCTATCAAACTTGTTTAAAACACATCTCATACTTCTTACTCTTATACTCCCAAGTATTTTGTTCATAGTACTTTGTATCTTTTAAGTCACAAATTACTTTTTAAAAATTTATTTATTGCGTCTACCTCACAGTGATTTAATTAAAAAGTTGGAAAATTATTTATTTATTAAATCAGCATGAGATCAATGGTTACAAAGCTGTTCATGGTCACATCTCAGTCATCAATATTGCAACACCCATCCCTCCAAAAGTGCACATTTCCCACCATCAACTTCCTTCCCTAGTTTCTCTCCTGCCTCTGTGCCCCTCTTCCCAGCCTGTCTCTATGGAAGCCACTTTGCTTCTATCATCTCTCTAAATTTCTCTGTCTCTGTCTTTCTCTCACACTCTCTCTTACTCTTTCCCTCTCTATCCTTTTATGCTTTACAATCCAGATGATGAGAGGTAATTATGTTTGTTTCTTCACCTTTTTTCAGCACATAGCTCTTGCCCAGAACAAATCACTTTCTTATATATCAATTTAGTTTTCTGTTATGTCTCTTTTACTCTTATTCCTCCAATAGATAACTTTATAAGACTAACTATTTTGTCTCTATTATTGATCAGTACACCCCAATATCTTTCACAATTCCTGACACATAGTGTGTCTTGAATAAATAACTGCATGTTTACCAATGTGAACAACATGTTACTTCTTTAATCCTTGGGGTTTGATTTAGTGATAATTTCAGTGGTGACTGCAGAAGAAATTGTTTCTCAAGTAGATGACTTAGTACAAAACAAATGCTGCTTGCATATGTGCAGGAAACAGAGCACCCTAGGTGCAGAGACCCACGAGCTCTCTTCCCTACTCTTTACACCCATTGGCGGAAGACAGAGAGATAATATAGACTGAAAGTATTTGTGTAGATTGATGAATATTGAGAAGGGGTAGAGTTAAAATGTGAAATCTAGGATCAGACTGCCTGAGTTCAATTCACAGGTCTCCTTTTATCTTAAGTATCTTTAACCCTTAAATTCCTCTTACCTTTTCTAACCTGTGAGTTGGGGGGGATAAGGGTGTCTACTTCAGAGATCATCATCCAAGGAAATAACAGCTGGGGCATTTGACGAGACCCCGAGTGGCCACCCACGAACGGCTCCTCCAGCTCCTGAATGACCATGATCCCAGAGGCACACAAACCAATCTCAAACCCAGCGGCTTTTGGCAGAAACTCCTTCGAATTTAATTACTAAAATATCAAAAATCCAAAATCGTGTGGCCACAATGGCGGCTGTGTGACATCATATGCTCTTCATAATCAGCAAAAGAAAACAAATTATCTAATGATACCTTTTCTACAGGTCTTATTGTTGCGGGGAATTCCAAATAATAATGGTGGGTCTTCTGTCGAAAAATTAAATGTAATCTTGCAGCACTGTTTACAATAGCTAGAATATGGAATAAACCTGAGTGCCCGAGAACAGGTAACTGGTTAAAGAAACTTTGGTACATCTACACAATGGAGTACTATGTCGCTGTTAGAAAGGATGAAGTCATGAAATTTACTATATGGAAAGTATCATGCTAAGTGAAATGAGTCAGAAAGAGAGGGACAGACATAGAAATATTGCATTCATATGGGGAACATAAAGTAACAAAATAGGAGACTAACACCCAAGAATAGCCGAGATGAATACCAGGAGGTTTACTCTATGGCTTAGAGGTCAGCTGCACATTCTAGGGGTAAAGGAAGCTCAGCTAGAGAAGGGAGCACCAAATAAAGGGTGTTGGGAAGATCTGCCCAGGATGGGAGATGCATGCTGAAAGTGGACAATAGACCAAACATAGTTGCCACTCAATGCCTCTTTTGCAAACCACAGCACCCAAAAGGAGAGAGAGAACAAAAGGGAGTGCCCTGCCACAGAGGCAGGGTGAGATGGGGGATGGGGGAGTGGGAGGGATACTGGGATTAGTAGTGGTGGAGAATGGGCACTGGTGGAGGGATGGGTACTCGATCATTGTATAACTGAAACCCAGGCACAAAAATTTGTAATTCTACAACTGTATCTCATGGTGTTTCACTAATAAAAATTTTTAAAAAATTAAATGTAGTCAAAGTGGAGAGAGAATAAAGTGGAACTCATCTGACACACAGGCAGGGGGAGGGCTGGGATAGGGGGGACACTGGGGTTCTTGGTGGTGGAAAATGTGCACTGGTGAAGGGATGGGTGTTTGATCATTGTATGACTGATATTTAAACCTGAAAGCTTTGTAACTGTTCTCACATTGATTCAATAAAAAAAATAGTTGGGGCATTTCCAATCTGGCGGTTAGTGAATGCTTATGAATATGATCATGTATCACCATTGTAATTACTGTAATGATGAAGCTTCAAGTGACATGAGAGGATGCCAATATAGATACTAAATTGAATTTTGATAATAAATATGGAAAACAGTGCAACATGGAGATGTAAAAATTTTCTTCTATGTCTTAACAGATTGGGGAGAGGGATGAGTAAATTGAGAAAAGCAGAACATGAGGTAGGGAAACAGAGACAGGAGCAAGTAAACCTCTTTTCATGTAAACTGGGGAGTACTTTAGCAGAGGCTCAGGGACAGAGCTCTAGTAGACTGTTGGCCTGTGTGGTGTGTGAGACTCTGTCTTCAGTCCTTAGTGCTGCAGAGGATGGAAAGATAAGAAAAAGAGGAAGGGAAGTGGGAAGGAAGAAGTGGAAAGGGATGGGGAAGAGGAAGCGAAGAGGTAGCAAAGTGAAGGGGAAGGAAGGGAAGGAAAGGGAACATCAAGTTAGGTTTTATTTAGGATATAAAGAAAGTAGCCACTGAAATTCAGAGCTCAGTCAGATACTTTCTGTTCTCTACAGCAATATTTACTCCTGTATTGTTTGATATGGGAGTATGAGTTGTTAAAATTGTATTTGTTATATCTTAAAATGGTTGTTCAAAATTAAGAAATATCAAATAAATATTATTTCCTTTGAAAAAAATCCCTATATACTAAGCTGAAGATATAATACAGGGATGAAGGCACTTGCCTTGCACGAAACCGACCCTGATTTGATCTCTGACACCACATAGGGTCCCAAAAGCACAGTCAGGAATGGTTCATGAACTCAGAGCCTAGAATAGGCCCTGAGCACTGCCAGATGTAGACTAAATACATCCCCCCCAAAAATAAAGGAATTAATATATATATTAAAAAACAATAGCACTGTAGCACTGTCCTCCCGTTGTTCATTGATTTGCTCGAACAGGCACCAGTAACGTCTCCATTGTGAGACTTGTCATTACTGTTTTTGGCATATCGAGTATGCCATGGGGAGCTTGCCCAGCCTCTGCCATGTGGGCAGGATACTCTTGGTTGCTTGCCAGGCTCTCCGAGAGGGATGGAGGAATCGAACCTGGGTTGGCTGCATGCAAGGCAAATGCCCTACCCACAGTGCTATCGCTCCAGCCCCAAAACAGTAAATAATAAAATATAGGAACAAAAGTATGTGAATATACAGAACCAACTGTGATCTTTGGGAATATCAGTGTTGTGGTATCTGTTGTTCTCCCTGTCTTCCTGTATTTTCTAATTCTTCTGCTTTCCTCTGAAAGCTAAGGAACATAACAAGGTTTAAACATGATCTGAATCTGCACTCCCTGGACTTGTTTCCTGGCTGATCTACCTTCAGACTTAGGTGGGTGTTACTGGACAACTTACGTCCTCTCCCCATCTGCAAATCAGAGACAGTGGTTATGGATTCACATGAGATGCTGTGAGGATTACAGAAGATAACAGACACAGAGCTGCCAGATTCTTTTAGTTGCGTTATGTTTCACCACCAGTGCTAACAACTGCAGGCAATGAATCTACATAGAAATAGTTCAGAACCTTTCTAGCTACTCTGAGATAATGCCCAGTAATTGACTTTCCTGTGAGTTTGCTAGAGACTTAAATATCCAGCAGGTTGGATAAAGGGAACCACCAAAGATGATGCTTACCTGTGAGTCCCAGCTGTAGAGACAGCTGCAGGTGAAGAGGAAGAAGGTACAGCCAGAAGACCAGGACTGGCATCCCGAAGACCCAAGGAGCCTGCAGTGTTGAGTGGGTTGGCTGGCAGAACTCTGCCCTGTGAAGAGAAGCCCCACCTTCCCTGACATGAGAGGAAGTGATTCTCACCAGTAAAGTGATTGCAAGACAGTAACCTGTTTTACATTCTAGGCATTTCCTGTTTCTTTATTGTGAAAGAGGGGTCAAACAGAGAAGGGGATGAAGCTGAGAAGTTTGCTAGAGACTTAAATATCCACATCAAGTGTTCTCAGTGAGACTTTCTCAAGCCTATTAGAGATGCTTTCTGCTCACTCTGGTCCCCCTCCTGTCTCCACTTAGACTTTCCTATGTCTTGGAATCTTCATGGTGATTTTACACTCAGGAGCTCCCAGGTCAAGAGTGATGTCTGGCTGTGAGTTGTGTCCCAGACTCCCAAGCTTAAGGCTCCTGATTGTGATGGGCTATGGTTACATTCTGCACCAGCAGGCATGGTTCAACAGATCTGAAGAAGATTTAGAGAATATGTACAAATTTGGGATACAGTCATATGGTTTCTGAAAAGCCTCCCTATTCCAACCATTTATTAATGTCACTGGCAACATTTAGTATTGATGTAAAAGTGCAATGTGGATGTTCCTCTAACTGATAAAAGGAGCCAGTTTCTGCCTTCTTTCTGAACACGATAAGCTCAGTTCAGTCTATGAGTATGAGAGTCTGAACTTGGGACAGTATTGGAGTGTTCTAGGCCAGAGAACATGTGTTTTGTCTCAGGAGTTATAATCACAGGCTTTTATCTAAGAAAAATAAAACCTTGTGTCCATACAACCGTTGATGAATTAGCATATATAGCAGTTGTTTGGGGGGGGGGAGTAATAACCCAAATAGAAATAATTAGGATGTCCACTAAGTATGTGGTTAGCCTGGTGTCTTGGGGACCAGTACTGGTGAACAGGATAGAAGCAAATGCTCTATGAAGATTAAAAATCAAGGTAAGGTAAAGGTAAAGGTAAAGGCCCTCCCGTTGATCATCGATTTGCTTGAGCGGGCCCAGTAACGTCTCCATTGGAGACTTTGTTGTTACTGTGTCTGGTATATCGAATACTCTCAGTAGCTTGCCGGGCTCTCCGAGAGGGGTGCCGGGCTCTCCGAGAGGGGAAATATTTAGCGCATCTCCTTCGAGCCGGAAAAATCAAGGTAGAATTGAGATTATAGAGAGTGGGATAGAAGGGGAACTTCAATTTCTTTACAGCTCAACAGTCAGTTTCTTTATAGGCTCAGCCTATAAGTACAGCAAGTAGCCATTCCCCTTACACACAATCGATTCAGTCCCTGTCACCAGAGTAAACCATGACTACCACAGAGTATGGCCCCAAACAAGAAAGAATACAAGCAAAAAACCTTTCAGCAGACTTATGGTCCAACAAGGTCCCAGGAAACACAAAATCACTCAGACTTTTATTATTGCTGGGTTCATATCACTGAAATCTGATGGTGAAGTGAGGGTGAAGCTTGTCCTGTTTGTTGACTGCCCAGCCCAGGTCTGTACCTGAGGAATCCAACTTCTGATTTCACTGGGCTCTAACAGTCCAGCGTTACACACAGGTGGCACAGAAAGAACTATGAGGATTTCTGGGGGAAAGTTTCTGATCAAGAATAGCAAGTGCTGGGCTGGAGCAATAGCACAGCGGTAGGGCGTTTGCCTTGCACACCGCCAACTGGTTGTTCTGAGTTCGATTACTCTGCCCCTCTTGGAGAGCCCGGCAAGCTTACAAGAGTATCTCGCCAGCATGGCAAAGTCTAGCAAACTACCTGTGACATATTCAATATGCCAAACACAGTAACAACAAGTCTCACAATGGTGACGTCACTGGGCCCGCTCGAGCAAATTGATGAAGAATAGCAAGTGCTGCACTTTCTCCAATGTCAGAGACACCAAGTTGCTGAGGGACCAGACAGACATTGGGATGGCCGCTCCCTGTGTGTGAGTCTTCCTTAACTGAGCTATCACTTCTTTCTGTTCTTTTAACTCTACTCTTTTCGAGCAGGTAGCCAGTATCAATGTGGGTGAAGAGCCTGGAACAATTGTGAAAAGTTCTCCTCTTTGCCTTCCCCCTGGAGGTTGTAGTAACTCCCTTAGGTGTTGAATATACTCCTCATGCTGGGAAGTACTTGCCCCAGTGTTACCCTGATAAACAAATCCCAGACTCATGCTCATCAGCAATTTCTCTTTTAAGTGGGAATTTCCTACTTCAATTCTGTGCCCTCTGTAATTTCAGTTTCTCCCTTTGGTCAGAGTCTTCTTGTACCATCAGTCAGTCTTCTTGTTCCCATTAATAGGATTCTTAGGGGGTCTGGGACCAGCTCAGGTGGACAGGGTTGACGAATTTGTGCCACCAAGGATTAAGAAGCAAAACAGAAATGAGAGTAAAAGGTCGGGCCAGGGGGATAAGAGCTTCCCACATTGAGAGCCCATCTGTTCCCACAGAAAGATTTTTATTGCCTTCCATCAGGAAACCAGAATGAGGAACAATAATCATTGTTGGGTGGAAGGACATAATACTTTACTATAGCATAATTATTCTTATGAGGTCTGTTCTGAGCTAAGCTACTCCATTACTTCAATTCCTTGGTGTTTGGAACAAATCCCTTGCTATGAGTCTGTTTTCCCATACAAGGAAGTCAGACCACAGTGGAGCACATTCAGGACCATTGCCTCAATGCGTCCCAGGTCAGCCAGCACTAGAGTTCTGACCGCAAGGTCCCTGTTGTTCTGTCAACTCAACCTGCTTCTTTGACTTATCTAACATAAGCCTTATTTTGTAGCTCAGTGCAGCCATGAATGAGCAATTTAAAAAATAACATTTTGAATACTTTATACATTTTTTACAGGCTATTCAGCTTCATGTCTTTATAATTTCTTGTGAAATCATAATTGTGATATCAATTTTATTTTAATTTTTAATTTTTTGAATAAACGTGAGATAAAGTTAAAGATTTACAAACTTTTGTGATTACGTTTCAATCATACAATGATCAAGTACCCATCCTTTCACCAGTGCCCATTCTCCACCACCAATGTTCCCAGTATCCCTCCCGCCGTCCCCCAACCCCTGCCCCACCTCTGTGGCAGGCACATTTCCTTTTACTTTCTCTCTCCTTTTGGGTGTTATGGTTTGTAATACTAAGTGGATATCAATTTTGTGGATCATCCAAGTTGAGGCTTCTGGACTCTTCATCCAATCCTCGTGGTTGGGGTTTGCGCTGTTTCTTCGTGTTGTTGTGGTAGTGTGGAGGTGGGACCCTCCAGTTCACTATCAGTGTACCCCTCTCACTGCAATAAAGGATTTTGGATGAGTTCAGTATATCGTGGCCACCTTTTCCCCCTTCTAGAGTACTACCTTCCTCTTTGGTGCTCCTCTGTGAATTTTGTGAGGCCTCGACTAAAGCTTCAGAGGGTGTGTTCTTTTATATTTGTCTTTTTCAGTTTCTTGTGTTCACCATGATTTTGGTGAGATTGAAATAGGCTACTGGACTATTGTCCTGATGTGATTGGGATAGCCAGGATGTTCTCCTAAGAATTAGGTGACAGAGATTAGATGTGAGTCCAGAGCTCTGAGAAAGGGGAAAATAACTGCGGCCACTGCCCTGGAGGTCATGCCTGTGATGTAGTTGGCCACATCATTGTCCAAGCCGAATTAAAGTCCCACTTCTGATGCAGTCCTAATGCTTTTTGGGGAGCCTCTCTGGCCCGGGTGCTGGGGGACACCTTGGCCCAAGGGGGATATTCTTGCATTAGTAGGATTCTTAGGGAACCTGAGACCAGATCAGGTGAATAGGTTTGAAAAATGTGTTCCACAGAGGATCAAGAAGCAAAACAGGGGCTAGAGTGATAGTCCAGCAGGTAAGGTGTTCGCCTTGCATGCGGCCGACCTGGGTTTGATTCCCAGCATCCCATATGGTCCCCTGAGCACCACCAGGAGTAATTCCTGAGTGCATAAACCAGGAATAATCCCTGTACATTGCTGGGTATGCCCCAAAAAGGAAAAAAAAAAAAAGAAGCAAAACAGAAATCAGAGTAAAAGGTGTAGCATCCGGGTGCTAAGAGCCTCCCTGACTCCCATTTGTTCCTGCAGAGTGTTGTGTGTTGCCTTCCATGAGGAAACCAGAATGAGGAACAATCATCGAGGGGATTGGAGGGGAGACATAATACTTTGACTTTAAGCATAATTATTCTTATAAGTACTGCTCTGAGCTAAGCTACTCCATTACTTCATGCCTTGGCTGTTTTGGACAAACACCTTCCTATGGGTCTACTTTCTCATACTAGGAGGTCAGGCCACAGTGGAGCACATTCAGGACGATTGTCTCAGTGTGTTCCAGGACAGTTAGCGCCAGAATTCTGACCAGCAGGTCCTTGTTGTTCTGTCCACTCAACCTGCTTCTTTGCTTTATCTAAGATAAGCCTAACTTTGCAGCATGTATGAACAATAAAAAATCGAATATTTTTCATTATGTATAGATCTCCAGATTCACGACAGAAAGTTGTTTATAATTTCTTGTGATGTTATATTTCTGTGCTGTAAAGTTTGACTTATGCCCTTTCATTTCTGATCTGATTAGCTGATGTATCATTTCTTTTGGGTTTATTTTTTTGGTCTAAGAATAAAGTTTATAATTTTCTGTATTTTTGACAGATTGGGTCCTGATTTCATTAGTCTTTTGTATTACTTATTGATTTTTATATTATTGATTTCTACTCAAGTTTTCATCATTTATTTCCTTGTGTTTAAGTTGGATTTTATATGCTGTTATTTTTCTAGTGTATTGCAATGTGAGATTATATTGTTTCATTTTAGCTTTGTTTCCCTGATAAACAAGAATATTTCTAGGAACATTCCTCTTAAGTAGCTTTTGGTGTGTCCCCAAGGTTTGGATAGCTTGTGCCTTCATTATTGCACATTTTGAGGATCTTTTAAAATTTTTGACAACCTCTTTGATCTGAGGATTATTTAATAATGTTTATTTTTCAAACATTTGAATTTTTCTGGCTCTCTTTTTGTGGTTAATTCCTACCTTTATAACATTGTGATCTGAGAAGAGACTGGGGATCATTTCTATTTTTGTGACACTATATACACTTTTTTTCCTATTTTTGTGACTTTATGTACACTCAGCCTGCCCTTTGTCTTATCTAAGATAAGCCTTACTTTGCTGCATGTATGAACAATAAAAAAAAATTTTGAACATTTTTCCATTAGAGATCTTAGAGATCTCCAGATTCATGAAAGAAAGTTGTTTATAATTTTTTGTGAAGTTATTATTTTTCCCCTTTTTATTGATTCACAATCTTTCATGTTTGAGTTTTGATCTTACAATCATCAAACACCCATCCCTTCGCCAGTGCACATTTTCCAACACCAAAATCCCCAGTATCCCTCCCACCCAACCATTCCACACCTACTCCTGCCTATGTGGCAGAAAATTTGCACAATACTCTCTTTCTCTACTTTGGTTACCTTCAATATTTTGAGACCAGTACTACCACGACTCATATCTACCAAGAAGGTAATGCTAGACAATGTGTTTTGTATTGCTTGTTTTGGATACAAAATAATGTCACGTGGCCACTCTAGGGCTGGAACGATACCACAGTGGTAGGGTGTTTGCCTTGCAGCGCAGCCAGCCCAGCTGACCCGGGTTCAATTCTTCTGGCACTCTCGGAGAGCCCAGCAAGCTACCAAGAGTATCTCGCCCACACAGCAAAGCCTAGCAAGCTACCCATGAGGTATTCGATATGCCAAACACAGTAACAACAAGTCTCAAAATGGAGACATTACTGGGCCTGCTCGAGCAAATCGATGAACAATGGGAGGACAGTGTTTGTTTGTTTGTGTTTGGCCACTCTAGGAATTCTAAAATTTTAATAATTAGGATATGGAGAGATCGCTGCAGCAAGTGGCTTGGGTCCAAGATTTGTTTGTGTGTTTCTGGATCATGGCTGTGTGGGACCTTAAGCAGACAGTAACCATATGTGGGTGTCATCTCAGAGTCCCATGGGGGGGGGAGAGAAGGACCGACTCCTCCCCTGTCCCATGAGGTCTGATGTTTCCTGCCACCACTACCCCATACCTGGAGCTTTTCGCTGAGATCTAGAAGTTGGTGACCGCTGGGGTTCCTAGAGGGCAGGCAGATGGACGGCACCTGCCCCCCGTCTGAAGTGGCCCGATGAAAATGGCCTATTGCAAAGTCCAGAACCATCTCTGCAGCAAGTTGCTCTGGTTGGAGATTCATTTTTGTGCCTCTGGATCATGGCTGTGTACATTTGTCTTTTGTTCCAGTATGTAATCTATCCTGAAGATATCTGTGCAATGGATAATGATATGTAGTTAAATATTGTGTACTTGGATAATAATGCATAGTTACATTTGGGGCACTTGGATTAGAAGTGGAAGACTCTAATATATATTCACAGTCCTCTTCCAATTCCTCATTGAGGTCTTGGATATTTTTTTAAATTTTCTTTATGATATTTCACCACTGATGAAAGTGAGGTATTGAAGTTTCTCACTTATTGTGTTCCCATCAATTATCTCCTCAATCTACTTTAGTTTCTGTAAATAGTTTCTGTAAATAGTTACTGCTCCTTCATTAGGTTCTACATGTAAGAGTTAAGTCTTTTAACGTATCAATCCTTTAGTCAGGATATAATATCTACTGCTGGTTTGAATGGTTTTCGGTCTGACACTTTCCTGCTCTTTATGAGTTACCATTTTCATGTATGGACGTTTCCCAACCTTTTTCTCTGAGATTGTATTTATAGTGAATTTTTAAGTGTGTCTGTTCTAAGTGGCAGACAGTTTTGCTTCCTGATCTACTCATTCTGTTACTTTTGAAGAAGAATGATGTGACTTATATTCTCAAACAACCACTGTGACTGTTGCAATGACTCTGGAAGAGAAGATGGTGTATGACCATAAAAGAGTAGTGGGTTGGGTCAAGAAATGGGAAGATTATAGGCAGATTCTGTGAACATGAACACACACACACACACACACACACACACACACACACACATATATATATATATATATATATATAGTCTGGAGCAATAGCATTTGCCTTGCATGTGGCTGACCCAGGTTCGATTCCTCTGCCCCTCTCAGAGAGCCCGGCAAGCTACTCAGAGTATCCCACCCGCATAGCAAGACTGGCAAGCTCCCCGTGGTATATTCGATATACCAAAGACAGTAACAATAAGTCTCACAATGGAAACATTACTGGTGCCCACTCGAGCAAATCGATGAACAACAGGAGGACAGTGCTACAGTGCCTATATATACATATATTATATATATATGTATATATATATATATACAGAAAGAAAGGCCCTCCCGTTGATCGTCGATTTGCTCGAGCGGGCCCAGTAACGTCTCCATTGGAGACTTTGTTGTTACTGTGTCTGGCATATCGAATACTCTCGGTAGCTTGCCGGGCTCTCCGAGAGGGGCGGAGGAATTGAACTCGGGTCGGCCATGTTGGCTGCGTGCAAGGCAGACACCCTACCCGCTGTGCTATCGCTCCAGCCTATATATAGTATTCAGTGCTATAATGCATAAGCATAGATGAAGGAGAAAAGCATTTCTTTTAAAATTATTGATACATATAAGAATTTATGCATAAGCATCATTAGAGAGCTTCAATAAATTTGAGAAGTAGAACACATAGGCATAAATGAGGAGAAAAATGTTTCTTTAAAAATAATGATAAAAAATAAAAATAAATAAAAATTTATACTTAAGAGTCTAACAGAACCTCAATAAGTTTGAGGATGGAGGAATCCAGTTCAGGTAACTCTTGACTGTAGATCAAGGTCATCCCAGAGCAGTGGAAAAGCAATATTCTGAGATGCACAGATTTGTCTAGTTTCTCATACTATAGAGTGATTGTTTCTCATATTCTAGGATGATGTCAAGAGTCGATCTCTGAGATTGCTCCCATAAACCTTGTTCTAAACTATGGATAAAGTCCCAGAACTGGGCGCATCAGGGTGGGAGAAGGGTATCAGGGCCTGTGGACGTCTCAGGAGACGGAAGTCATCTGGAGTACATTCTGGAAGTTTATTTTTTTTTTTTCATTTTCTTTTGATCGCCAAGACTCAGAAAGGAAAGGAGGCAACAGAGACTGAGGCGGCAACAAAAGGATTTGAGGAAGAAGTTGTGGGAAACAATTCACACTTCAATATCTATTTATTGAATAAATACTCCCTTGTGTGTGCCCTGGTGCTGCTCTCCTTCTGAAGTAACTTTCCTGGGAATACAAGCATCTCCTAGGAGACAACTCTGCACAGTAACAATTTCTTAGGTCTTGATCCCCATTCTTCATCACTCCTATCCTGTCACAAGTGGTTCAGGGATGGCAAAGATTCCTTAGAGCAGTTGCTACTAAATTTCTCAAAATTACTCTCAAATGAGAATTACTTCTGTCACATGTCTCCATGATCAAATATTCTAGAGAAGGTCTCCAGAGGACCTCCGTGCACTTGCCGCTTATTTATCCCTCTTCTCCCTGTGCCCACACTCTGTGGCCATCTCTGAACACCCGGAGCCCAGCTTATTCCACAGGACTCATGTACTTCTTGGATGTTGAGAATGTGTTAAAAAATCCACCACCTTCTTAGAATTTTGAGGGGACCGTGTTAAATTTTTCTTAACTTGGCCTGGGTGCTGGCCATGTGTGGCTTACGTGATGGCCCTTCTGTTGACTTTTCCTTTCATGAAGAACTCTTGTCCTGTCTACCACCCCAACATTTCCTCCATACACTTATAGTCAGATCCTCGACTTCTTATAGATGTAAATGACAGACACCAAGCACTTACAACACTTTGGTTCCAAGGAAGAAGCCCAGGAGGAAATGTATGTGGGATGGAGTGCACAGGTCTGTCTCTGGGTCTGGAAATAAAGAAACAAGAGTTTCCTTAAAGGAACTATACAGAAGTCAATTCTCAGGCAATCTTCTTCCTCCATCTGTGATGCCAGGGCCCATAAACATTCTGAAGACTTTGAACTTGACTGCTGCTCTGGTTTAGGATGAATTCAGAAATCAAGGTAAAGAGGTTCCTCGTCTTTAATCACTCTTAGGCTCTTGCCAGACTTCCCAGTTGTCCTCATTGAAAGAGGGGAGGAGAGATAGCATAGTCAGTGAGGAGAATTTGGTGTTTGATCTACTGACTTGATCCTCAGACTTGAGGGAGTGAGTCTTCTCGATGGGTTCCCTTACATGGGTGGTAGGGACACCTCCGTCATGGATGGAAATGAACTACATAGGGCAGAAGCTCTGACCTGTGAGTAGTGGAGTCATAGGGCAAAAGCTCCATCACTTAGCCAACCCCACAGCAATGAATTTACCGAGGACAGAAATCATTAGACAGAGTGAACTCATACTGAAGGAATCTGCTTATTTGAGAGTCACTAGCTCAGACATTTGAAAGGTGATTAAGGAATGTTAGAAACTATCAGGAAAAATACAAATGAAGTAAAAATACAAAAGAATAACAGAACCTCAAATGTAATAAGAAAATAGTATCTGTCACGGTCACGGTCCTCCCATTGTTCATCGATTTGCTTGAGCGGGCCCAGTAACGTCTCCATAGTGAGACTTGTTGTCACTGTGTTTGGCATATTGAATACGTGATGGGTAGCTTGCCAGGCTCTGCCATGTGGGCGAGATACTCTCAGTAGCTTGCCGGGCTCTCCAAGAGGGGCGGAGGAATCGAACTCGGGTTGGCCATGTTGGCTGCATGGAAAGCAAACACCCTACCACTGTGCTATTGGTCCAGCCCATGTTTTATTAAATTGTGCACAGGAGAATAATTAGAGTTGATTTTATTGTATTGTGATTTATAAATTACCTGAAACTACCTAGCACAGTGCTTGATTCTTGATTTATATCTACATGGCAGTCCAATGAAGACAATTGGGAGTAGCCAAGTTCCTGAGTTGGAATGATTGTTGGAAACTTTCTGAAGGTCACAGATGGCATTTATAGAGAGATGATAAGGAAGCAAGGCCACCACTGGATCTAGGGAGCTGATCCAATGGCCCATCTAGAGGGCTGGTACTGGTATCCCAGTTTCTACCAGAGTAAACGGGACAGCAGGCATTTCTCCTTTCCAGGCCTCTGCAGGAAGAATGAATTAAGCAGTAGAAACATTTGCTTTGAAATAAACAGAAAATTCTTCACAAAGTAAACCAGTTAAGCTCCTCTGGCACCCCAAACTTATTTCTGTCCAGCACTTTTCTCTCAGTCACTTATGAATTCACTCTTGCCTTTCACATGGCCAGCTCAGGTTTAAAATTGGCAACTATTTGGTCTCCTGAGCCCTGCAGTGATTCCTGAGCTCAAGACGGGAGTAAGCCTGAGCATTGTCACATGTGGCCCAGAACAAAAACAAAGTGAGCAGTGTGTCACTGTTTTATATTGCTTAAAATTATTAAATGAGGAAATTAAAATTTAATATTATATATGTTCTATAAAACAAAGTTAATAGTGTGACTTTGGTTTATAGAACCGGCCTTATGTAAGGAAAAAAGAAGTGGATAGTAGGGGTCCTTAGTATATCGGTGGAAAATATAGTTACTTCTGTGGTGGGTGTTGGAACAATATATTATTAACTGTGTTGTAAATCATGGCACTACAGTGAAAAAAAATAATAGGAGACTATAATTATAGGCTCCAATTTTATCTGGATGTACAAACAGAACTGTGCTCCTTTGGACACAACCAATTAACTTTCATGAGCATGTTCTTTAAGGAAATTTGTTCATTCCCCTGAACAGAAGATGAAGACAACACTAGAGGGCATGCTGGAATAATGCAGGGTCTATGAAAGTGTGTGTGTGTGTGTGTGTGTGTGTGTGTGTGTGTGTGTGTGTGTGTGTGTTAAGGAGAGTTCTCCCAGTAACCTGAGTTGATTAACCTCATGTCATATAAGGGAGACATAAGATATATTTGTTCACATAAACAGATAGTGCAAATCCTTTAATAATGCTGCCATAGGTAAGCACATCTCTAACTATCACATGTCCAGGCTAATAGTCCCTATCTAAAAATTCAGGTAATCTGGATTACCTTATCCCAATCACTTGGTCTAAATCAGGAAGTCTTAAAACACCCCTTCCTTATGTTCCCCAAGTCTCTTCTGTAAAATCTAAACTCAGGAGATGGTTGAAGGAGAAAGGAGATTGTAGATGAAAAACAACTTCCAATATTAAACGTGTAGAATGGTGGCAATGAATGCAGGTCCACTGTCACGAACTAAGGACACAGGAAATCCTTGATTCCAAACACCACGCACAGGTGATCAGTGGAACTCAACTAGGCAGGGTTTCCTCTGTGCTTACACAGACAGAAGGTTCAAGTGTCATTAGGTGATCTTACAAAAGATGAAACAGATAAAAAGTCTGGGATAGAATCAAGTTTCAGCAGGGTTAGAGAACAGGAGGGAGGTGAGCTGAGTTGACTGGTGAAGTGGATCACTGTGAAGAGAAGCAAGTGGGGGGCAGGACCCCATGAAGGATGGAAATCTCAGTGGGTGAACCTCTTCTGAGACTGCAATGACAAGATTCACTCTTGAACTCTGACCTGACTGTGATGAGCAGCCTCTGGAGATCAGATATTCAGGGCACACTTGACCAGTTCAGTCAGAATGTCCAGGTGGAGCTGAACCTGGGTAAGCTAATCAATGTTCCCCACATTGTTCTAATGACAGATCAGGGCTGACAGGCACCTCCTACTCTCACCTCACAACTACCTGAGGCCTGAGGAGGAGAGTGTCTGACCTAGCACCTTTGGCTTCAGAGCATCCAAGCTGAGAGGCAGGAATTCCCCTGAGCTAACATAGCTCACCTTCTCCATGTTGCTCACTCCCAGGTGTGTGTAGCTCTGGAGTGAGGACGAGGTATTCAGTGACTCTGGCCCCAGGTGGAGTGACACTTGAGAGGTCACAGAGATCAGGAGGCAGAGCAGGGACATGAGCACAGACAAGTGGCTCACCCAGGCTCTCATCCAGGGCTCAGTGACGCTAGTGATGCTTCCACACAACTTTCTACTGCTCTCTGCATCTCATAGACCTGAACTAAACTTCACTTATGGGGAAACTGAGAATTCCAAACACTGAGACATCCACAGTTTTGGTAAGACAGTACCTCTATTCACTTGCCAAGGAGAATCCCCATGAAGAGGATGCCAATATGGATTAAGAAACAATACATAAAAGAGATCTCCAAGCCTACTCGGATCGGGGCTGAGCATCCTCCACCCAGATCCTCTGAATTCCAGTAGGCAGGGATCACATCCACCAACTGGCCCCTTGGCGCCGTGTAATCCCATCAACGGCCAAGACTCAGAGACTATGAAAACCAGCTCCCGGAAGAGAACAATGCAGTCTCCTGCCCTCGCGCCTGGCTGTCCTCACTGGAGCCCCTTGGAGGGGAGCGGGTTGAGTTTTCCTCCCCGCCCTGACCAGGGCTCTGGCAGCCGAAGACCTCCAAGACCAGCCACCACCATGCTGAGACCACTCTCTGCACACCTGAAGGTACCGGCAGAGGAACAAAGGCAAGCAAGTCCCGGGGCTGAGATCTCCAAGCCTATTCCTGGAACCGCGTGACATCTTATTATGACATCTTATTATCTCATTCCTACTTTGGACAAACTGGCAGGCTACCGAATATAACCTGCTCACACAGCAGAGTCTGGCAAACTCCCCATGGCGTACCCAATATGCCAAATACCAGTAATAATGATGGGTCTCATTCTCCTAAAGAGCCTTGAATATAGCACTTTCTTAAAAATCTCAGGGCTAGGATGAAGGAGACGTTACTGGGGCCTGCTCGAGGCAATCGACGAATAACTGGATGGTCGTGATTCGTGATTCGACATAAAAGAGTATGATTTGAGGTCACAGGGTTAACGTCCTTTTGACTGTGATTCCCATCAGCTCCCTTGGATCACATTTATTGTCTTATACGAGGATCCATAACTAGGGGACAATATTCTTAGCATGGGGAGAGAATATCCTGATTAGAAGCACAACTGCACTCCTAAGAGCTATTATAGTTCTGTTTTCTCATACCAAGGCAGTCAGGCCAAGATGGAGCATATACAGGTCCATGCCTCAGTGCTGTTCTACATAAATTAGCACCAGCGTTCTCACCACAAGGTCCTGTTTTTCTGTCCCCTAAGACTCTTTCCTCATCCTATCTAACTTAACCCTTAGTTTCCAACACTGATCTGTTCTCTCACCAGTCTCATTGCATCTCACACCTTCCCACAAAGATTGGGGGATTAGTCACCCTCTGTGTGTCAGGAGACTGATGCGCAGGAGAAAGCTAGTTCACAGAACCTTGATCTAGCCCCTGGTTTGGAGTCTACTGTGCTTCTGGAAAATAGCATCTCAGATCCTTTCAATTCTCCTAAAAGGTGTCAGTTATTTTTGCCATTTTGGAGATGAAAATACTGAGACCTTTAAAGATTGTCTCATCTCTCATTTGACCCAGCCATACTACTCCTAGGAATACATCCCAGAGAGGCAAAAAAGTATAGTCGAAATGACATCTGCTCTTGAATGTGCATTGCTGCACTGTTTACAATAGCCAAAATCTGGAAAGAAAAAAAAAAAACGAGTGCCCAAGAAGAGATGACTGGTTAAAAAACTCTGGTACATCTAAACTATGGAATACTATGCAGCTGTTAGAAAAGATGAAGTCATAAAATTTGCATATACGTGGATCAACATGGAAAGTATCATGTTAAGTAAAATGACTCAGAAAGAGAAGAACGGTCATAGAAAGATTGCACTCCTCTGTGGATATAAAGTAACAGCATGGGAGGCTAACACCCAAGAGTAGTAGAGATAAGGACCAGAAGGTCTGCTCCAAGGCTTGGAAACCAGCCTTGTATGCTGGGGGAGAAGGCAGCTCAGATAGAGAAGGGAACACCAAGTAAAGGGTGTTTGGAAGATCTGCTTGGGATGGAAGATGCGTGCTGAAAGTAGACTATAGACCGAACACAATGGCCACTCAGTACATCTATTGCAAACCACAACACCCAAAAGGAGAGAGAGAGCAAAAAGGAGGCCCTGCTACAGAGGCGGGGTGGGGTGGGAGGGATTGGGTAGGGGTAGTGGGAGGGATATTGGGATCATTGGGGGTGGAGAATGGGCACTGATGGAGGGATGGTTACCCAATCATTGTATAACTTAAATGTTTGTAAGTCTACAAATGTACCACATGGTATCACCAATAAAAATTTATAAAAAATAAAAATAAAAATAAATATTTTCTCATGACTTCCCATCATCTCATCAGGCAGCCCTTTGTCATCTGACTGGGGAATTTTCTCTGGTTGAGACTTTCCAAGGTCACCTGCTCTGCTCAGAGCTTTCAGTGACTGTGTGTGTGTGTGTGTGTGTGTGTGTGTGTGTGTGTGTGTGTGTGTTTCCATGAATTATAGGAGGGTTTCCTGACAACTTTTCTGAAAATGGACAGCTGTGTGACTGTCAGCCTGTCAGACTAAACAGAGTCTGTGCTTCTTATCACCTTTTGTCACTGCTGTTTCTCAAACAGAACCAAATGCAGCCCTTTGCTGATACTTTGTTAGAGGGAATAAAACTGCAGGACTCGGTGACTCCAACATCTTTGATCTCCGAAGGCAGGTGAAGTGAACTGTGAAGCAGATCCAAGGACAAGCACCAGCTCCTCATCTGCCCTTAGTTCCTGCTATCAGAAGTGAGACTAGCCTGACTGTGGTCACACAACAGGATGAAGGGCCCCTCAGAAAACTCACCACTCACAGTGACCAGGGTGCCTGACCCAGACTTGAACATTACCCTTCCAGAACTTCACACAGTAGTAAGTGCCCATGTCGGCCAGGCTGATGTCACAAATGCGGATGGAGAAGTCTGTGTTGTCTAACTTGTTGGTATCTGAAACATTGGTCATTTGGGGGTAGTGGCCTTTGCCTCCAAAGTTGTAGGTCTAATCCCGGCTACCCATGCTCTCCCAGAACCATTTGACAGTTCCCATGGGATACAGGGAGGTCAGGGAGCAGCACGGAGTGGCCGTGTCTCCCTCAGCTACTGACATGAACTTGTCAGGCTGGATGACCTGCAGCTCTGCATCCTGCCCAACCACTCCTGAGGGGAACACAAGCAGCTCTTCACTCATCCTTGTCAATCTGTAGGTTTCCTCAACTCTCTGTCAGCAACCTACAGCAGTGACTGAATGTTCAGTGTGAGGAGTTCAGCACATTGTGTGAATCTAATGTTGCCCCACTATGAACCTCCACTGTGTGAGTGTGATGCAAAGGAGCTTAAGGACATAGCATAGAGGGTAGTTTAGGAGTTTTCCCTGGAATGTCTGGAATTAGCACCTCCCCTGTTCCTCCACTGTCTGGCCTCGGGGAGTGTTGGACTTTTTTCTTATTTGTATTATGAGAAACCATGAGGTTTTTCTGACCAATGAGCATGAGCAGAGGGACGATGGTGCCAATGGGATAGCCCTGATCTGTCAGGGCCTCAGTAAATCCATCCTTCTCTTCCCCAGATGATGCTTCTGGTGGTGTCTGCCCTAATTCAGAGTACTGAGAGGAAGGTGCAAATACTACCATATACATGGAAATTTCTAAAAAGCTGAACATGGTTTCAAGTCTCTGAGATTTATACTTTTTAAATTGCCAGTCAATATATATTGGTGTTGTCATTCTGCTGTGACAATTATCAAAATCTTATTGTCTTAAAGTAATAGAATATTTCCTCAACAGATGAATGAAAGAATATAATCTAGTATGTGTGAAAATGGAATATTTGCATCCCTACTCATTAATCTCTGTATCTTCGGCGTTCGCCTTACAAGCAGCCAACATGGCCGACCCGAGTTCGATTCCTCCGCCCCTCTCGGAGAGCCCGGCAAGCTACCGAGAGTATTCAATATGCCAGACACAGTAACAACAAAGTCTCCAATGGAGACGTTACTGGGCCCGCTCGAGCAAATCGACGATCAACGGGAGGGCCTTTACCTTTACCTTTACCTTACTCATTAATGAAATTCTGATCCAGCCTATAATACAAATGAACCTTAAAATAAATACTGTGTTAATTGAAAGAAATCAAATGTAAAAGAGAAATATCTTCCCACATATATAATGTACTGAAAATGGACTAGTTCATAGAGGAAAAAACACCTTAGAGCTGGGGGTGCGGGAAGATATGAAGAGTTATTTGGTGTACACAATTTCTGTTTAGGTTTTGGGAAAGTTCTAGAAATGTGTGGTGCTTTTGGTTTCACCATAGTGAATGTGCTCTATTCCCACTAATTTTTATACTTTTAACAGGATGGTTCATCTGACATATAATTAACATAATAACATGTGCATACTAATAAAAGGTCATTAGATGTTGACTTGAACTAAATGAATTAAGGAAAAAATAAAACATATGTAATATTGAGGATGGTGTAGCACTGTAGCACTGTCCTCTGTTGTTTATTGATTTGCTCAAGGGGGCACCAGTAACGTCTCCATTGTGAGGATGGAGTATTTCTTATAAATAGATATTTAAATGTGGAAAGAGAGCGGACATACAAGAGAGCAAGAAATAGCTGGCTACAAATTTCTTTTTGAAAAGAAAGGAGCTGTTCATTTTGTTTGGACAAAATGAGTTATGAGTTGAGGGACTGTGAGTCATCCATGATTTTTCATACCAAAGAGCACTTTGCAGTTGGATTTATCCCTAGAGACAAGGCATATTCTAGAATCATATAGAAATACTAAAAGTTTACTCTGGTTTGAAGTCTCTCATGATTCTGGTAGCAGATCTGCACCAGAGGATCAGCCTATTGTTGAACCATGAGTAAATCCCATGTTGTGAAGGCCTACTCCCCTTCTACAATACTTAACATTGTTTGGCATCCTCAGAGCCATTTTGGAGAAGCAAAATTTTTGCCAGTAACTGTCAGTTACTATGGGAGTCAGCTGAAAAAGCAGAATTACCCAGAATGAAATCAGTGGACATAAATACCAAAACAATCAAGGGAAAGGTCACCATGGAGTGGCACAAGATGGTTAGGGAAGCCCCTTGAGTTTTTAAAAGTATAAAAATACCCTGGAAACAAGGGGAGGGGTCACTCTCCTACTTGAGTGGACAGCCCTGACATGTCAGCTTTCTAAACTCCATACTTGTTTGACTGTGTCAAATAGAATATTACACTGCAAGGCTCATTGCTTTGCGTGGTCTTTCGGACACTGGACCCTAACAATGTTTATTTTTATGTTTCCTTGTGCTCAACAGGATAGAGCTGTCGTTCCCCTTTTCATAAGTGAGCAGGTAGAGTCCACCCACTCAGCACCTGTGTAGCAGGCCTGGCTCCTAAGGAGGCGCTGCTCTCACAGGGCACACCCGGCTTGTTGCTGTGGTCAGGGCCTTTGTTGGTTTGGATTTAAGTCAGGAGAAGAAGATTGGGAGCTGCAGAGATAGTACAGGGTTCTAGGCACTTGGCTGACATGGTTCAGTGCCCTGGCACTGAACATGGTGCCCTGAGCACTGCCAGGAGTGATCCCTGAACAGAGAGCCTGGACATCACCAGGTGTGGTCCCAAACCCCAAACTTCAAATATAAAATAATAGAAGATGACTGGACAATGGGAAACCGTGTGACAAAAGTGACTGTTTCTGTGACAGAGTGGAAATAACTATGACTGACTCTTGAAGAGACGAGTGAACTGAATAGTGGAGAGAGGGAAGAAGAGAAACCAGAAAGGTGACAGAAACCAGGCAATAGAGAAGCTCTGCCCTCTGTGGATTCATAATTCTCACATTCACACTCTAGGCCAGACCTTTCCCTAGAATTCTGGACTTTTTGTACTGTTATCTTGGGCCGTGATCCTTAGTCAGAAGTAAACATCACACAGTTAACATCCCGGATCTGAATTTTTAATTTTCTCCTATGCCCTCACTATCAGCTTGATTCTCCTAGATCTTAGTTCCCAAGTCCTTGGGTTTTTCTCTCCCACTGCAGCACTGTGCACCAGGATATCCTGTTGACTCATCAGCACGCATGTTAGTGCTAAGCTTTTGACTTTGTCTCTATGAACTTCTGGCTTGTTGCAGTCAACTTGTTTTGTGTGCATGAACTCAGTAACTTCTGAAGTTCTCTAGTTTTTTCTATCTCTGTTGTCTAGTCCATTCTAAGTTAAATGTAGAGTAATGTCATACTCATCTTGGAGGAAGTGGCTTCCCTCTGAAAATCCACACAATGTCAAACATTTTTTTGCACTACAAAAATAAAATGAGCAAGATTAGAGAAAAATCAAACCCTTGAGCATAATAGGAAGAATTTTTTCTCAGGGTCCTTGCACGTATTTCCTTGTCACTTTCCACCAGAAATCCCTATAGTTCATCCTATACAGTCTTCTAAGCTTTGCTCAAATCTTTTCCATAATATCTAACAAACTTGTTTACAACACATTTCATTCTACTTACTCTTGTCCTCCTAAGTATTTTATCCATAGTACTTTGCATTTTTTAAATCACAAATTATTTTTTAAAAATTTATTTATTGGGTCTATCTCATAGTCATTCAATTAAAAAGTTACAAAATTATTTCTTTTTTAATTAAATAACCACAAGATAAACGGTTACAAATCTGTTTTATGGTCATGTTTCAGTCATCAATATTCCAATATCCATCCCTCCAGCAGTTCACATTTCCCACCACCAATGTCCTTCCTCAGTTTCCCTCCTGCCCCTGTGCCCTCCTTCCCAGCCTCTCTCTATGACAGGCACTTTTCTTCTCTCATCTCTCTCTGTTCCACTCTCTCTCTCTCTCTCTCTCTCTCTCTCTCTCTCTCTCTCTCTCTCTCTCTCCCCCCTCTGTCTCCCGCTCTCCCTCTCTCTCCTTTTATGGTTTACAATACAGATAATAAGAGCTTTGTACGTTTGTTTCTTTACCTTTCTTCAGCACATGGTTCTTGTCCAGAACAAAAAACTTTCTTATGTATCAGTTTAGTTATCTGTTATGTCTTTTTTACTCTTATTCCCTCCCAATAGATAAATTTATAAGAGCAACTATTTTGTCTGTATTATTCACCAGTACACCCAATTTCTTTAATAACCCGACACATAGTGTTTGATGAATGAATAACTGCATATTTACAAATGTGAGCAATATGTCACTTCCTTAATTCTTGGGGTTTGATTTAGCGATAATTTCAGAAGCTGTTTCCTAAGTAGATGATTTGGTACAAAACAAATGCTGCTTGCATATGTGCAGGAAACAGAGCGCCCCAAGAGCTCTCTTCCCTAATCTTCACACCCATTGGCAGGAGAGTTCAGATAATATGGGCTGAAAGTATTTGTGTAGATTGATGAGTATTGACAAGGGTTAGAGTTAAAATGTGAACTCTAGGATCTGACGGCCTGAGTTCAAGTCATGGGTCTCCTTTTACCTTAAGTGACCTTGAACTCACTCCTATGTTCCTCTTCCCTTTTCTCATCTGTGGGTTAGTGGGGAGAAAGGAGTCTACATGAGAGATCATCATCTTAGGATAGAATAGCGGGGGCATTTCCAATCTGGCAGTTAGTGAATGTTCATGAACATGAACAAGTATCAATATTGTATTTCCTGTGGTGGTGAAGCTTCAAGTGACACAAGGAATACCAATATAGATATAAAAATGATTTTTATAATAATTATGGAAACACACTTCAATATAAAATGTAAAAAATTTCTTGCATGTCTTAAGAGATTGTGGAAAGGAATAAGTTCAGAAAGGCAGAAAATGAGATCAGGAAAGAGAGAAAGGAGCAAATAAACCTCTATTCATGGAAACTGAGAACTACTCAATTAGAGGCTCAGGGACAGAGCTCTAGTAGAGTGTTGGCATGTGTTGACTCTGTTTTTCAGTCCTTAGTGCTGTAGACGATGGAAAGGGAAAGGGAAAGGGGA